CTTCCTTCCCCTGTTGTATCATCTTTTTTTGGAATGGAAATAAATATAGACCTCCTTCAGTCGATTGGCCAGGTAGATAACTTCCAGATTTCTTGGCATAGCCTTGTGAGCACACCTAAAGTTGCACCTATTTCCTAAAACACCTCAATTGGTATTTCATCAATTTTTGGCACCTTCTTTTGTGCCAACAATGCCTTCAATGCAGCTTGACTTTCTTCCTTCAATATTGTTTCTTGATCATCTGCTACTTCCTGAAATGGCTCCATGTTGACCAATTCTTGCTTGATACAGTGACTCTTCTTTCCATCTTCTTTTGATGATTCCTGCATCATTCAAGATTTTACCCACAAAATCCTTCAGAATTACAATTGGAGGCTTGTATTTTGTTCTTCAGTCCTTTCAGTATGAGAAATGTTAAATATATTCTCTCCTTTTGGCCCTCAAGCTCCAGCTCTTTGCACATTCCATTATAATACTTTGTCTTCTTGAGCTGCCCTTCAAAATCTTCTGTACAGCTAGCTCTCTTGGATAATAACTTCTTTCTGCTTGGTGGCATAGTCTGTGCTGTTAACCTCAAACGTGGCTCCTCTCAAGTGGTTTCAGTTGACTAGCGACTCTGTGGGAAGAGATGGGCAGTCTCTCCTGGTGCTGTTTACAGCCTCCGAAAACAGCTATGACAGATTCCAACTTGATGGCAATGAGCTGAAAGCAGAGAATACCAGAAGAATGTCTATCTGTGTTTCATTGATTATGCAAAGGCATTTGACTACGTGGATCATAACAAACTGTGGCTGACTCTGAGAAGAATGGGAATCCCAGGACATTTAATCGTGCTAATGTGAAACCCATACTTGGACCAAGAGGCAGTCGTCAGAACAGAGCAGGGCAACACTGCATGGTTCAAAATTGGGAAGGGTGTACGCCAGGGATGTGTCCTATCTCCATACCTTTTCAACCTGTATGCAGAGCAGATTATCTGAGAGGCCGGGCTCTATGAGGAGAAGTGTGGCATCAGGATTGGTGGACGATCTATCAACAATCTGTTGTGTGCGGATGACACAACTTTGCTCGCTGAAACTGAGGAGGACCTCATGCACTTACTGCAGAGGGTTAAGGACTGCAGCCTTCAGTATGGACTGAGGCTCAATGTCAAGAAGACAAAAATTCTCAATCGGTAGCATCAGGATGGATGGCGAAGAGATTGAGATTGTTCACAGCTTCAGTTTGCTCGGCTCCATGGTCAACACTCTTGGCACCAGTAGCCAGGAAATAAAAAAATGCATTGTGATGGGAAAGTCTGCGGTTAAGGACCTCTCTAAAGTACTCAAGAGCAACGATGTCTCTCTGGAGAGTAAGGTGCTCCTGATACAGGCCATGGTTTTTGCAATCACTTGTTATACATCAGAGAGTTGGACAATGACTAGGGAGGATAGAAGGAGAATTGATGCCTTTGAGCTGTGGTGCTGGAGAAGCGTATTGAATGTACCATGGATTGCCAAGAAAACAAACAGATTCATCATAGAGAGGGTTAAACCAGGCTGCTCCTTGGAGGCAAGGATTCTGGGGCTTCGCCTGACATACTTTGGACATGTTGTAAGGAGAGACAGGTCTTTAGAGAGGGACATCATGCTGGGTAGAGTAGAGCGACAGCGCAGGAGGGGAAGACCCTCTATGAGGTGGATTGATTCAGTGACTGGGGTAATCGGGATGGGTGTGTCAGAGGCAATGAGATTGGCACAGGATAGAGCAGGGTTTAGGGCTGTTGTACATAGGGTCGCTATGAGTTGCAAACGACTCGACAGCACATAACAACAACAACAACAACACCTTGGATGACGTTCTTGATGTTATCTCACAGCTTGTCTGGTCTTCAGTGTTGAAAGCCTCAAATGTATTCTTCGATGGTTTTTTAATTCAGGTAGGATAAACCCAAAGTCCTATTTTGGCTCATGTGGACTTGTTTACAGTTTCCATTCGAGCATGCATTTTAGTAAGTGATGGTCTGTCCCGCAGTTTACCCCTAGTCTTGTTTTGACCACTGGTTTTGAGCTTTTCCACAGTCCTTTCCATAAATGTAGTCACTCGGATTCCTGTATATTCCATCAAGTGACAGCCATGTGCACAGAAACTACTTGTATTTTTCCCAAAAAAAGGTATCTGTAATGGAGAAAGTATGAATTGTACAAAATTCTACCTCATAATTTTTGGCCTCATTTCTGATACCAAGGGAGTATTTTCCAACTACCAAAACCTTCTTTTTTGTTTTCAAATTTTGAATCCCAATCACCAGTTATCATTAATACCTCTTGATTGCATGTTCAATCAATTTCAGATTGCAAAGGTCAGTTGTTGTTAATGATATTGTTGTTATTGTTGTTGTTGTGCACTGCAGAGTCAGGATCATAGCTGACCACACCCAGCAGGTTTTCAGAGGCAGTGAATTGCAGAACTCTTCCATTTCTTCCTCTTTGGTTTTAATGATTGATGTGTATATTTGAATAGTTTGTTGTTGTTAAATGTGCCATTGAGTCTGCTGCAACTCATAGTGACCCTGTGTATAATAGCTCTGAACACTGCCATATTCTGAATAATGTATCGTTCAGCTCACTAATGCCTAGGATATTGATCTGTATGTATTCCATTTCATTTTTAACAACTTCCAATTTGACAGCTCCTTTGGGCCAAACATTCTTCTAGGTCTTATAGCCCTGGTGTGTCCCCTTGCCGTACAGAGGTAACTTGTGGTTGCTGTGAAGCTAAACACTGTGACGCTGATGTGTCAAATGAAACAACCATTACCCATGGTGGACAGTGTTTGGTGGAGATCCCTGATTAAAATAAGCTTAGAAGCAGGAGTGGTATCCACTTCCATAAATAGCTTGCCTCTAGAAATCCTCTGAACCTGGAGAAAGGATGAAAGTCTCGCAAGTGTCGAGGGCTTTCATTCACAGGGTCGCTATGGTTTGCCTACGACTCAATGGCCCTTAACAACAATAATCCTAGATTTACACTTCCTACATTCTATAATTACCAATGGATACTTGCAGCTGGGTCTCTTTTCACGTATTGTCCCATCAGTAAATTAAAGTCCTTCACTGGTTGAAAGCTTTACTCCATCCACATCATTAAAGTCGACGGCTCTTCTCAGGGGCATCTTGAGTGCCTTCTAATCCAAGAGGTTCATCTTCTGACACTATATCCAACCATGTTCTTCCATTAACTATAGTTTTTGAAGGCCTGTTATTTTAGAAAAGCCAGTCCTGCTTCTTAGTCTGGAAGCTCCACTGAAACCTGTCCATGATGGATGACCCTACAGCTATTTGAAATACCCAACGCATAGTTTCCAATATCACATCAGCAGGTAAACCATTCTAGCAGACAAAATAGCAGAGGAGTGATGGCGATTAATCAAGGGTGGAGATAAGTTAGGGGTCATTGTAGGCTGGAAGGATTTAATGGCAGCTAACAATGCATGAAGACCCTCTATGAGGTGGATTGATTCAGTGACTGGGGTAATCGGAATGGGTGTGTCAGAGACAATGCGATTGGCACAGGATAGAGCAGGGTTTAGGGCTGTTGTACATAGGGTCACTATGAGTTGCAAACAACTTGAGGGCACATAACAACAACAACAACAATGCATGATAGGTGATTAAAGGATTGGAAGTGTCCGTGATTTCATCTTGCTCAGATCAAGAGTCAACACCCTTATTACCAGCAGTCAGGAAACTAGGAGACGTATTGCAGTGGGTAAGTCTGCTGTCAGAGACCTCTCAAAAATGAGGAATACAATGATATCAGTTTGAAGACCAAGGTGCACCTGATTCAGGTCATGTTCTTCTCAGTCACCTGCTGCACATCAGAGACTTGGACAATGAATAAGGATGACAGAATATTCGATGTCTTTGAGTTGTGGTGTTGGAGAAGAGTACAGAATATCACATGGGCTACCAAAAGAACAAACAGATACGTTCTTGGAGAAAGTGCAGCTGGAGTACTTTCTGGAGACAACGATAGCAAAGTTTCATCTCATACTTTAAGCATGTTCTTAGGAAGGGCTCTTCTATGGAAAGGGACATCATCTTGGGAAGTTGGAGGGTCAGTAAAGGAGAGGAAGACCCCCAATGAGATGGGATTGACACGATGACCTCATGGACTGTAGTATGTCAGTGGTGATGAGGATGGCACCGGATAGGGCAAAGTTCAGGTCTATTGTTCAAAGGATCACTGTGAATTGTACTCAGCTTGAAGGTCCTAACAACAACAATAACACTGCCAGGTGGAAGTCCAGGTGCTGATGGTATGGATGAACAAAACTGGATTGGTCTTAAAATAGCTTCAAGTCTGAGTGTGGCAGAGGTAGGAGGTGTGTGAGTCAGGGCACTGACTAGGAGACCAAGAAGGCTGGGACAGAGCGTGGATATGCGGTTACAAGGTGGATGTGGAATGAGAGAAGCGAGGGGTGAGAGCAGGGGAAGGACTTTCAGGGCCACGACACCACTCCCATGCCTCCTGAGACACCCCCCCCCCTTAGCTATGGAGATTGAACTAGATCCTACCGGTAAAGGCAGCCACTGAAGGTTCTAATTACGGAACATTTAATCGTGAAGGAGTCCTTTCAGAGCTAGTCTTGAAAGTTAGGATGTGTCTCATCCATTTGGCAGCAAAAGCAGCTAAAACACAACGTTTACAGAGTCTCACAAACCCCCTAACCCCAAAGTCAACTTACTGCTGTCAACTGGAACCGACTTCTAACTGACACTAACGGGTTTTCTGAGGTAGTAATTCTCCCCAGGAGCAAAGGGTGGATTCACACTCGTTGCCTTTGGGTTGGCAGCACAACTCCCTACCCACTAGGCCACCCCTGAGCCCTAAAGAAACGGGAGGGAAGCGGGTGAGGGTGGATGTGATGACGTTGGCATTCCGGAGATTCCAAGCTCCTAGTGACAAAGCCTGTCTCCTTCCCTGCCCGCGGGGCGCCGCAGGTGTCCGGCTGGGCCATGCTGGCGCTGCTGTGTTCCTGCCTGCTGCTGGCGGCCCGCGCCTCCGCGGATGCTACTGAGTATGCCGGTGCGGTGGATATGGAAGCCAACACCGCAGAGCAAATCCACGACATGCACGCCAAAGTGACGGATCTGTGGCGGGAGCTGACCCAGGAGGGGGCGCGGGAAGGATGGCCGGACAGTGGGCTCCATGCCGCCTGCCACGTGCAGCCGTCTGCGTCGCTGGACCCCGCGCAACCCCGCATCACTGGCCTCGTCCTCTTCCGGCAGCTGGCCCTGGGCGGCAAGCTCGAGGCCTTCTTTGACCTGGAGGGCTTCGGCGACGACGCCAACGGCTCCAGCCGCGCCATCCACGTGCACCAGTTCGGGGACGTGAGCCAGGGCTGCGGGGCCACCGGGCCCCACTACAACCCACTGGGTGTGCAGCACCCGCAGCATCCGGGCGACTTTGGCAACTTCTTGGTGCGCGACGGCCACCTCTGGAAGTACCGCGCCGGCCTGGCCGCCTCGCTGGCCGGGCCCCACTCCATCCTGGGCCGCGCCGTGGTGGTCCATGCGGGCGAGGACGACCTGGGCCGCGGCGGCAATCAGGCCAGTGTGGAGAACGGCAACGCGGGCGCGCGGCTGGCCTGCTGCGTGGTGGGCGTGTGCGGGCCCGAGCCGTGGGCGCGCCAGAGCGCAGAGCGCAGGAAGCGGCGGCGAGACAGCGAGTGCAAGGCCGCCTGAGCACCAGGGCACCGCACCGATCGGAGATGTCCCCTCCTTGCGCCCAAGGCCCTGCACCCAGACCTTCTGCCTTGACGGCCCCGCCCCACATGCACCCCGAGACTCTCCACGCCATGCCCCGCCACAAGTGCGCCCTGAGACCCTCCCTATGCCCCATTTGCGCCCCACATTCTCTCCACACTTTAAGACCCCCTCCCTGCACCGAAAACTCTCTCTGCCTTGGCTACTCATCCCCACGTGCGCCCCAGACCCTCTCCACACCCTGTTCTACATGTGCCCTGAGAAACCCTCCACCTTGCGACCCTTCACGGCACATAGACCTCCTTCTGCCTTGACTGCCCCTCCCCACGTGTTCCTCCGACCTTCTTTACGCCCCGCCCAGAGTGAGACCTCCGTGCTCTGAAACCTTTCCAAGACCTGAGACCTCCCTCTGCTTTGATGACCTCTCCACTCCTCTGTGCGTAGAGACCGACCCTCTTCAAGCCCTAAGACACTGCCCACTGCGACCTCCCTCTGCCCTGAGTCACGCCCCTCGCAACAGCGCACGCGCTCAGAGACCCCCGAGGCGCACAGATTTCCTTCACTTCACAGTTGCTTCTTCCACCCTTCCCCAAGCCTCAGACTCTGCCCCTGGTACTTTCCGTCTGCTTTGAATCCTGTACTGCTCCTGGAGACCCCTCTGACACCTTCAACCCTGAGGTCCCCTTTTTTGCTGTGGCTGAGACCGAACATTCCATTCCTTCTCCCGAGTATGTTGAGACACTCCTCCATCCTGAGCTTCCACTTAACACCCTGGATACCCAGAGAGTCCAAGGCTAGTTCAATACCCTGTTTCTCTTTGAGGGCCCCAAGACTCCCTGAATTTCCTGTCTACCCGACTCCAGGACCCAGGACCTCAGTCTGCCCAGAGGACTCCTTCCCCCTCCATTTGCGTTTTGTTTCCTTCTAGGTGCCCTAAGACAGCTCTCAAGGCTCCCTAGGGTCCCCTTTCTCCACATCACCAGACACCTGGGGCCACAGCCTCCCTGCAGCCCGGATTAGGCGCCCCTCCCCCTCCCCCTCGACTGTTTCCCATACCAGACGAGAAAGCTGCGCCTTTGGGGGATATTTTGCAATCTGGTGTTGGCGTATTAAAAACTCAGCAATCTAGTCCTGCGCCAGAGCTCGGTCACTTGTTTTGTTTAAAGCTTCTCTTTTGGGCGAGGATATTTTCTTTGGAGATGTCAAAGATATTTTCCAAATCTCTGTAGAATGGCCTTTCCTTTCACACCCTTCCTCCTCCCAAACCCACCAGTTTACTGAAACCAGTGTTGAGCCTCCGTGTTTTCCACAAGATGAACCTTTCAGACGCCACACCAAGCCCACTATGGCCTGAAGAATCATGATTTCTGGTGACCCCCGAGGACAGCAGAACGGCCCCATTACAAAGGCTGTTGATCTTTATCGGAAGCCAACTGTCACATTTCTGGAGGGTGGATTCAAACAGCTTACTTTTTTAATAGCATCTGAGGGCTATATCACTGCGCCAGTAGGGCTTCTGCGGAGTCATCCAGGGACGTTAAAAATCAAACCAACAACAACAACAACAAAAAATTTATTTCCCTGATTAAGCTGTGAAATGCCAAAACTTTAACAATTTTTTTTATACCACGACTTAAACAGGGAAGTTGGCTTTTAAAATGTGTTTGTTTGCTGGATTTGTTTTTTTGAAATTTTTTTATTATTATTAATTTTAATGAACGTTTACAGAGACTTTGGATTTCCATTCATTCATTGTTGCACTTTTCTCCCTGCCCACCCCTCCCCACCCAGTACACTCTTCTCTTTGAAAAGTAAAATTCTTCAGTTGTTTTAAAATCCTTCCCCCCAGGTCCACTCCTGCAGCCTTCCTTCTGGACTCCTGTCATGACAGTAATACCTAATCACATATCCCTTTTAAACAGGTTTCTCCCTCATCTGTTTCAATGCAGTATACATTATTTTTCCCATCTTTCTCAGTCTGCCCCTCAACCTCGATGTCAGTCCTGTTTTACAACAGTGGCACTATGCAGTATTTGTCCCTACGTGACTGAGATATTTCACTCAGCATAATGTCCTCCAGGGTCACCCCCTGTTTGTTTGTTTTTAACTTCCCTGAATGATTCTGTAGGAGCCTGCTGGCACAGTGATTAACCACTGGACTGGTAATCAAAACGTCAGCTATTCACATCTGCAAGCTGTCTGTAGAAACTCTATCAACAATAAACTTTTCCCGTGATTCTGCTGCTGGCTTGAGAGGGAATGAGCGTGCCTAGCCATCTCAGTCTGTGGTTACTAGCCTCTACCTCAAAGTGGAGCCTTATACCCACATCCTAGATGGCCAAGTAATGGACTCAGCATGAGTGGGGAGGTTACAGGGTGGGTCATTGATGTTGGCATCTGGGCTTACCCAAGGTCCCCACAACTTCGGGCATTACAAAATCACAAAAAGACAGTTCAAAGTAATGGAGAACAAAGATGGCTAAATTCTTAATCCTTCTGAAAATTACGATCTGTGTGCAGACTAGAATAGCCTTGGGCACCACACATCTTTGTTTTACCAATAAATGTGTTAGTAATAACTTTGTAACCCACTGGGTTAGTTCCCTTGAGGGTTTAGGAATTTTGCTGCCAACCCAAAGATACATAGTTCAAATCTTCCAGTTGCTCCATGGGAGAAAGATGGGCCATCTCCTCCAGTACACTGGCTGCTTCTGGACACCCTCTGGAGGGACACCTAAGGCTAGGTTCTGATTTGATGGTACTCAACAACAACAACAAACTGAAGATTGAAGTTAGAACTTGTCCAGAGGTGCCTTGGAAGTAAGGCCTGGCAATCTACTTCCTAAAAAGAACAGTCATGCAACCAACCCTGCAGGGAGCACTACTACACTGCATGCATGGAGTTGGCCCCAGTCAGAAGTGATTGATGAATTGACTGGCCTGAGTTTCTGGTTTTGTTTCTGCTTTTCTGAGGCGCACTCACTGCTTGGGTGTGGTCTGCCCACCTTGGTTTCTTTGAGGTTGGCTGAATCTCTGGAGAGTTCTGGCAATGTGCTCCATAGAAGTTGCTTTGTTGACCTAAAGACATCTCTCCAGTAGTTCGAATCCACCAGAGGCTCTTTGGGAAAAAGATGGGCATTCTCCCCCAATGTGATTTACAGCCTCAGAAAACCTGCCGGCTGGTCAGCGATGAGTCAGTTCCAACTTGATGACAATTAATTGAGTTGAGTTCCTGGGTGGTACAAATGGTTAAGACCCTCTGTGACTAACTGAAGGGTTGGAAGTTCAAGTCCACCTGGAGGTGCCATTGAAAATTAAACCTGATAATGTACTTCCAACCCCAAAGAGTCACTGAAAACCTTCCGGAGCCCAGTTCTGCTCTGATGCACACAGGGCCAGCAGGAGTTGGGATGACTCCATGGCAATCAGTAGGGCTTGGGTTTATTTTTCTTCTCTCCTTGAGGCGGTTTCCAATGCCCTCCCCGATTCATGAGGCAGTGACTCAAACTGAGCCTCAGCCAGAAACCTGTCCCCAGTGGTTATTTTTACCCCTAGCGAGGACTTAACTGGTTATTTTAAAATCTTTCCTTGAACCCAAGTGACAACGGGAGAGAAAGCCCACATTGCCTGGTGCCTGTGCTCCACCAACTGGTCCTGGCTGGTCCGAGACACTAACATGAACCGCTGACACCGGCACGGAAGGGCATTGACGTGTCTTTAAATACGCAGATCTCAAACGCAGAAGCTTCTCAGCCCCACAATTAAAAGTGGAAATGAAGCCACGATTACACAGGAACGCAGAAGGCTGGGGACTCAAATGCCAAACATCCCACCTTCTGCTCCGCTGCCCAGATTGTAAATTGTTTCAGGGCCGTGGTCAACTAGGATATGTGCATTTATTTTTCAGAAGGAAGTTGGTGGTTCTCTTTCGTTGCTTTTCTTGGGTTCTCATTTTCTTTCTGCACTTCTCTGAGCTCCTCCTTGTTGTTGTTATTGTGTACTATTGCGTCAGAATGGACCTCTAACTGACCCTACAGCAAGTTTTCAGAGGTAGTTAATTGAATGGGGGCAGATTGTCCATTTTCCTCCTGTAAGGAGCTGGTGGATTTGAACCTCATGCGTCAGAGAGCTGGACAGTGACTGCGGGTGTTGGAAGAAGAACAGATGCCTTTGACTCATGGTGACAGAGAAGATTATTATTGCACATACCGTGGACTGCCAAGGGAACAAATAGGTCTGACCTAGAGAGGGGGAAACCAAGTTTCTCCTTGGAACCTAGGATTCTGAAGCTCCGTTTCACATACTTCCCTATTCCCACCCGCCCCCCCCCCCCCCCCCCCCCAGTCCTTGGAGAAAGACATCACGATTGGAAGGGTGTAGGGACAGCACAGAAAAGGAAGGCCCCAGATGGGGTAGTTTGATATGGTAACTGGGATAATGGGGTGAGTGTGTCGGGGTCAGTGAGACTGGCTCAGGACAGGGCAGGCTTCAGGGCTGTTGTACTCAGGGTCGCTATGAGTTGCAGGCGACTTGACAGCACATAACAACTACCACCACCACTTTTGGTTGTTAATCCCTACCACTAAGCCACCACAGCTCCTCTCCATCACCCCCAGGCAAAGCTGAAGAGACACTTTCACAGACCCCTTTGGCTCCTCTGTGCACTAAATCCAACTGCCGCCCACTGCCCCCATTACTTTTTTTTTAACCTTTCTTTGAGTTTAGAAATCTGGAGAACAACCACTTGGCCAACTGACTGGAAGAGATCTATATTTGTTCCCATTCCAAAGAAAGGTGACCCAACAGAGTGTGGAAACTATAGAACAATATCGTTGATTTCACATGCAAGCAAGATCCTACTGAAGGTTATCCAAAAATGACTGGAACAGCACATCAGCAGAGAACTTCCAGAAGTCCAGGCTGGGTTTAGAAGGGGTCGTGGTACTAGGGATATTGTAGCTGATGTTAGATGGATCTTA